TATTATGGGATAAATTAATCAAATCAATGGTGACTTTAAGAAAAAATGTTTGCATACTTTGTACATCCGGTGTCTCCGGGGTATGGATAACGTCCAGCGGCTGTGTATCCGAAACATACTTCGTTAGGTGTTGGGAGTGTTACAGGTGGCACAGTTGTTGTGGTTGCAGGAGGTACTGTGGTTGTTTCTGGAGGTACAGTTGTTGTTTCTGGAGGTGCAGTTGTTGTTACTGGAGGTGCAGTTGTTGTTTCTGGAGGTGCAGTTGTTGTTTCTGGAGGTGCAGTTGTTGTTTCTGGAGGTGCAGTTGTTGTTTCTGGAGGTGCAGTTGTTGTTTCTGGAGATGCAGTTGTTGTTTCTGGAAGTGCAGTTGTTGTTTCTGGAGGTGCAGTTGTTGTTTCTGGAGGTGCAGTTGTTGTTACTGGTGGTACAGTTGTTGTTACTGGAGGTGCAGTTGTTGTTACTGGAGGTACAGTTGTTGTAACGGGTTGTGCAGTTGTTGTTACAGGACGTGCAGTTGTTGTGACTGGACGTGCAGTTGTTGTGACCGGAGGTGCAGTTGTTGTTACTGGAGGTACAGTTGTTGTTACAGGTGGTGCAGTTGTTGTAACGGGTGGTGCAGTTGTTGTTACCGGAAGTACAGTTGTAGTTGCGTCAGGATCATCAATTGGGCCATCAATTGGATCACTTAGATCACATAATTGATCTAAATCTAAATTACATCCTTCCAACACACATGGAGTTCCAGAAGAAGCTTCGTTCACATTACATATATACTTGTCTGGACAATAACCACGTACATCTGTTAAGCTTCCACCAGAACACATTGTATAACTAGTACGACTAGTGCAAGTAAAGCCACCTGGAAGAGCATCTGTGCATACACCACACTTTGAAGTATCTCCACAGGCTGGTGTTATAGTGACTCCTTGGGTAGCGGTGGGATCCATGCATGCCCGGCCAAAAGTAGTGCATAACTCGTTGGCACCAGTGCAGGTAAAACTTTTCGAAGTATCAGCCACACCTATTTTTGTGAAATAATTGTAAATTACATATATCTTAGATATGATGTTCTTCGTTTTAGTTAATCTTACCATCGATACAGACTTGAAATTCATTTTGGCTTATGCAGGCAACTCCGTTGTCATTGCATGCATTACAAATCGCACTGACGTTTGTAAGACCCAGTGCTGTCAAAATCATAAGGAACTGTAATGAATAAATTTTACAAATTAAATGCAATTATTTATTAATTAACTTTTGTTTGTTATTTAACAAAAAATCATTATTCTTGATAAATAATATCTATCTTACGGTAAGTTTTAACATTTTCTATAGTATTCCTTGTAGTTATGGTTTATAAAGTTGCTAGGATGAAAGTTTCAGTTCAACTAATGAATTCGTTTGTTAGAATTCGGCTTTTATAATTCAACTCACATGTCTACAGATATTTGATTTCACACCATGATAACTTTTATCACAATTTTCAATGCTAAAAAGATTAACACTTCATGCCAAAAACTACTGCTCTGATAAGAAGGAAAAAAGTATCTCGCACGCAGATATGCAAAATTTTTACAAGGCTTTTTTAGGAGAAAATTTTCATTCAGTTCATTAACGTTTTACTTTTATCTAACTTAATTTTTTAAATATAGATTTTTTTCTACTTAATGTGTTACACAATTTGTGTATCTTTTAAAAAGTAGAAAATGTGTAATTTATAAAATTTTATTTAAAAAATGTTTAAAAATCTCTTTAATGTACAAACCTAATCTATAGTTGATACCGTCTAGGTTTAAGACAGGATTAGTCCAAAATATTTCGATATTAACTGAATCTTTGGTTTTGACACCAATTTACATTGATAGCTAGTAGTTATTAATACCCCATTCACAAGCACTCCCATCTGTGTAAATTTAAAAAATCTAAAATTACTGCATTACTAAAATTTTTCATTCCAATGCACTTCTTCCGAATCTTAGAGATGAAGATCTGTGTTTTGTAACAATAAGTAAATTTTTTTTATTATAACCAACTTAACTATTCATGGCTCTCACGGTTGCTCCAATGAAAGATTTACTCCTACTAAAGATGCTGAATTCATATTTTAAATTTAATTTGCTACTAGTCCATCTATAGATAGAGCGCAATGGAAAGGAATAATATTGTCGCAAGCACAACATCCAAATGTCGCCTAATTTAGAGACATTATAGCCTAGTACAAAATTTATAGAAGACTTTCAAATCGGGAAATTTAATAGACAAGTTCTTCCTTTTTTTTTTTGCAATGTTATAAAAAGATGAAGAGTAGAACAAAATTATCATAATTTCAGTCAAAAAATCACATACGATCACCAATTTTACTTATACATTAACTTTTAAATAATTATCGTCCAGCATAAAATATTTAAATACAATATACATATAACACAATTTTTTATCTTTAAGTGAAGTTGTCTAAAGGTTATTTGGAAGGTTAGTTTTTGGAAGATTACATGATGTCAGATGATCCAATTGAACCAGAACCAATTGTTGGCCGATATCATTCTTTTCAGTAAACTCTTGTAAAATTTCTAAACATTCACAAGCAAGTTGGCTTATTAGTTTGATAAGTCCATATTTTTTTACTAAATATCACCAAAATATATACTTATAGAATCAGTCCTCTACAACGACTTGAATAATAGATATAATAAATGATAGATATTCATTTTTTCTCAAAGACCAACAAAAATAAAACTCCATTTTGATTATAGAGATGGTATGCTACAGTGTTATGCTCCCACTTTTTCTAATTATTTCAATAAGAAATGGTAAATAGAAATCTATATTCAAAAAGCTGAGTCCGATTTTGAAAAGTTAAATAAAATGCCTAGGATTGAAAGAGAAAAATTAATTATTTGGCGCCTGTGTGAAATCAGTCAAGTTGTATTAATGCAAGACCTGGTACGTTATAAATATTTTATGAAAAGATTACAAGGATTCACGAATCCATGCCTAACAACTGTTTTGTGCATTTGATGTTCCAGAATAATAATTATCTAATGAGTTTGGCAGATGCGTGAGTCAATACTCTTTCGAAAAAGCAGTATGAGCCGCAACTGTTTAGAGTAAATTCCAAAGGTCTTAGATCTAGAAATCAAACGAAAACGACGTGACAAAGAACAACGACTCATGATACAAACGACCCATTTAGCAAACTTCGTATTACAGCACCACAAAAGCTATTGGAAATTGTTTGTAATTTATAAATCTACACTTTTTACTATTTCATCAATAAAATACTTAAAGTCAAAATCAGCATATAGCCGCTAAAAACAAATGAATGCTATGGAGAAAATGAAAAGAAAATAATTCCAATATATCTTATAAAGCAATTATACATATAGTTATTCATAATATAATGATATTTATGTATGGTGATGGCAACAGTGTCTGCACGTATGTCGTACCGAAGTGTTACTAACGTAGACCCGGGGTAGGATAAGATTTCTGAGAATGAAAGGGATCAGTTTAGTTCGCTTGAATCGGATACCCTCTTCAGTTCCGGATTGTGCCCACTGCGTAGGCATTACCTTTTCTCCGTCGTGTAAAAAATAAACTGCGCCTAATGGAAATCGGCAACGAATCTGACAAGAACATATCCTAATTCTAATCATCATGATAAGCATTATAACACAAATTTATTTTAGTTCCCAGCATGAGTTTTCGATTCGATGAAAACCAGAATAATCTACTGAACTCATCTGCTGGGTGCAAGATCCATTTCATTACAATCGCAGAACACAAGCGAAAATGTGGATGAGTATTTTTTTCAGCTTTTTTCAAAGTCTAACGATGTCGGGATGGCTTAGTCCCATAACAGGTAACAAATATAAACACGTTGAGTTAAGAAATTTATATATTCAAAAAAAAAAAATTATTGTGCGAAAGCAATAAAAAAGATATTGATTGTCTTAAATAAGTAGTTTAACTGTTTATCACCTATAGATCTATTATAGATTTACTGTTACATTTTTTGAAAAAATAATGTTTGTGTTTAAAACACTAGCCCAAAAGAACAAAAATAATGCGATATAAAAAATAGAATGGATTTAGCATTGAAAGCGTTCTTTATGACTTTTTGCATCTTTAATGAAATCTGGCTTTCATAGGTTTTCAGGGTCTACATTTAAGCTACTTCTATTGAATATATTGCTTGTCTGGAGATACAGAGAAAATATGTAATACGTAATAATTTGAATTGAGTTGAAATAAATTAAATTATATATATTAATGACTGATTGCTGTATTGGATAAGTAGACTTCATAGATCCCATTATCACTATCTCTTAAAATAAGTTATAGGGCAATATTAGTTTGTTGAAAGAGTTTTCATTATTTCCATTTTTAATATGGGACACATCTATTTTTGTATTTTTTTTTAGTTTTTTCTTGACCCATAATTAAACATTAATGAACTAAAAAGTTTCAAAAGAATCCTTCACCTAAAAAAATATGATTACTTTTAAAAGCAAAATATTGTAAAAGAAGTGTGTCTATATAGTAAATAAATCCTAAAGCCAATACATCTCACAATAACTTTTCTATGGTTTTTTATGTATGATTTTGTGTTTGTATTTCATTTTAAATTTTTTCTAATCTCATCATATTATCACAATTTTCGGACTGAGAAGTAAAAATAGAACAAACAATACTACAGAGAGCAAAATGGACTGAGTGTTAAGAATAAGTGATTAACTTACTTAACTTAATTAACTTACTCAGCTACATAGTAGATAATATTTTTCCTCTGAAACAGAAATCATAAACTGTTGACATGCGAGGTAGTAAATCTTAGATGTCCCTGAATAGAGTCAAAATTCTCTACAATGCATAAAATTTTATCTTATTTCAGCACTGTTAAGTATCTAAACCTCTAAATAAAAATATAAGTGTAGGTAAATGTATAAAACTTTATATGAATATCATACAAACCAAAGACACAGTCATATATAAAAGCAGCATATTTCCTTAAAAGTATACAGTTTTCTAATAGGAACGCAACAGAACGTATTCAAGAACTTAAAAATGCAGCAACGAGTAGTCAAAATTTTGGTACTAAATCTTTATTAAAACTACTATTATAGTAAAAATATACTGACATCATTTAAATTAATCGATTATTTTTTCAGTGTCTTATCTTTGCAGTCTCTTTTTTCTTTCTACAAGTTTATGGAAAGTGTAACGAATGTCAACAAAATGACATAGCCTGTATTGATGAAACCCAATTTCACATATGTGCCGGTGGTCAAATAGATAATAAGTATACATTTAAATGTCCTGAGAATACAATTTGTACAGATTATAGAGCGAAGTGCATGCCAGCTGATAGCGGTATAACTCCATCATGCACGCCTGATGCTGGTTGCGGTATATGTTCTCCTCCAAGTATGTTTACCTGCTTAAGCCGTACACAATTCGCACAATGCAATGGAGCAGAAATAACCACTAATGTTGGAGTTTGTCCTGATGGCTTCACGTGTGACACTGCCACAAGCGCAATTTGTGTTAACGATTGTAACAATCTAACGAATTTATCATGTGATCGGGACCCAATAACGCTCTGAAATTATCGATAGAGCTTATTATTCCAGAATCAATTTAGTTAAGTTGCACTGCTTACAAAAGTGATTTGTTTTTATTAAATAAAATATTTAGGGAATATATGATTTAGTTGGGCTAATCTGCAGTTTCCATATAAAAGTATACATAGTTTATAAAAAATATATTAATATATATGTATAAACCTTTTTAGTATATAAGTCAGCAATAAATGTAAAGGCATTTCAAAAAAAGTTGCATTTTATCTTTTGAGATTTACTCTTTCTTCGTGGATTACTACCAAGGAATGATATCAGCGAACACCGGATGGATATTGAGTTTCTGTTTTTAAGGAAATATAATAAATATATTTAGATTTTCGTAACATTTTGTATAATACCTGGCGTCCATATATATGATGAAGTACTATTTACTTTTTATAAACCAAAAAACTACATTAATTACTACAATAATTCGTTTTTTTTTGATAATCCTTGTGCAGTAAATGACCTTTCTTGTATTTTAACATCCTGTAGGATTTTCACCATTTTGTAAGCAAACGGATGTTTAGTCAAGTATTGTTTGCACACTGCCTCAATATTATTCAATTTTTTCTTATATGAATTCCTTTCAGCAAGCACGCTCTGTAGCATAGCATCCTTGTGGTCTTTCTCTGAGCTCTTTGAACCAACCTTTATATCAAGCAGCTTTTTAATAATTTCAGCCTTATGGATACTTTGTGGTTTGGTATTGGCAACCGCTATATATTTTTGTACGGATTCATTGGTTGGAGTGCCATAACCAATTTTTTGATTGAAGCGTTCTGCAACATGATCACGAGTGCTAGTTGAGTTTTTACAGTGAGAATCATAAAACTGTTTAAACCAAATTAGAAAATGTAAATTTGGTATATAGCGATACTCAGTAATATCCAATATCGGTATTATCTTAGACTTGATAACAAATCTGAGAGAGTCAATTGCTGATTGCAGCAACTTATAGTTATGTACACAATCCATTTTCACATTAGTAAAAAATACAACCGTTCTCAAATCAATTGTGTAGGGGAAAAGATAATGCATAGCTTGGCAATAGGCTGCACCAGTACGTAATTCGCTAACTTCTCCAAAGTCAGCTCCTACGATGCCATTTAGCCAAGCGAGTAGTTCATTGGCTGAACAATTCGATTTTGGTTCAAAGGCCCAGCACGAAGTCGTTGACATTCTGGCAACTTTTCTTGTCTTGGAATTACAAATTACAAATTACAAATTTAGAATTTCAAATTTCAAATTTCGAATAAACTACAATTTAGAACTACAATCAATAAAAAATAATAAAAAAATCTTTAAGAAAAATACATCATTAAATATTATTATGAAAACATTGGTTACTAAGTCAAATTTCATCAAAACTATTTCTTAAGTTTGACAGTAAGTTCTCACTGGGAAGGTATAAATTTGGAATCTTTAGAATGTATACAGTTGTCAGTGTAGTGTAGTTAATTACTAGTTATCAAAATGTCTGTTTTCGGTACGTACTGCAGCTACATAATTAATAATTTGAAAATACCGGGCTTCTCTTAATAACCTTGCTAGGCGTGTAGTGTACAGCTGTCATGGGTGCCTGGATATAGAGACATTTCGGACAACTGTAGCGCAAACGATTTTGCCAAGGAAGGTACTCTACTCCCTGACATTCATTTCTCAGATAGTGGTGTCCCACTTGCAATAGCTATTTTTCAGCTATTTGTGTTCGACTTGCAATGGCTAAGCTGATAATCAAATAAAAATATCTGAGTATAGCTAAACAAAATTGAGGTGATAAACCGTGCTATCAGATTTCAAGATTGATCTCGTCCAAACTGCATATAACACATATTAACCAGATTCTTCAACTAATATTTAACTGATCAGCAATACTGGATCTGTTGTGCCGGGTCACTGCATATAAGAAAGACATGCTATGAAACTGGGTCTACCTTATACACACTTTTGTCGTGATTGTTGCTGTGCAGATGAGGAGGAAACCGCATTTTACCTCACGTGTCAGTGTCCATCATTGAAAAGATAGCCTCTTTTCTTACCGCCCTGACCAAGATATCATCCAACCAAGATGTCATCCAGTAAAATCAGGGACTGAGTCTAGTTTATAAATTTGTCGAGTTGGTTTACTTTTACATAAATGGGGGTGTATTGCTGTGCGGCTTTGCTCGTACTCTGACTTTATCTACCAACCTAAGTTACTCTAAAACGACTGTTCGCGCTCCTTTTTAACTCGCAATATATTAAAATCAACCTGTTCTGTAAGGTTGAGCAAAACTTTATCACAAATGAAATGGATTACAAAGATGGGTTATTTCAAGAAGGTGACAACAACAAAGAGCTCTTAAAAATCAGACCACTGTATTATCGAGACCTCGATATTTTTACAGCACTGCAGAGATATCCTGAGATACGTGGTAAGCTAGAAAATTAAAAACTAGTAGGTTTCTCAACACTATAGGTCTAATCCGGCCTTTTCTTATAAAAAACTGCATGATCTTATTGTTGAGTAGATTTTAGAAAGCATTTCATAAAAAAATCTAATTACTCGTTAGTTCACTTTTAACTAGTTTTGGTATTAACTGTTGTTATGTGCATATTTCTACATAACATACATATATATATTTATTATAAAAGAAAGTTTCCTTTATAGTACGAGGCTAGTTAACTCAATGCACTTGAGTACTTTTATCTCTATTAACTGCGATGTTCATTCATAACCCCTCTGCATGCTTTGATTAAATTTTTGTTTATCACTTCATCAGACTAAGCAATAACTGACCTCAGATCTGCATACCTCCCCGAGGAGCCTATAGCCATTCTGAGATCCATTCTGAGACAAAATAAAACTTAAAAAGCTGACTGGAGTGTCTATGAGACCCTCCGGCGGGCACATGCTTTCTTATGTTTGATGATGGACATATAAGCAATGCCTCTTGATAATATCCTAGGACAGGAGATTAGGGCTTTGATCATTTATATACTTTATATACTCACATCGTCATACGATAAATAAATTACTTAAATAAATATGTGGAATTTATTTATATATATATATACATTTAAATATAAATTTAATTGTGTTTGTACGCTTATATTCTTATTATATTATATATTCTTTATATGTTTAATTTGACATCTTATAGCATCACGAAAAAATTTTCAAGTAAAAACTTTTAATGAAATTATTCAAATAAAGGAATAAGGAAGCAGCAAGGATTCCGACTTTGAAAAAAGGATTGAACATACTATTTTGTAGAAGTTTAAGCCTTATCGCGGTTAATGCATTTAATTTATTTACAAGAATTTTAGTTTCGAATTGCAATTGAGCTCGGTCTAATTGTAAATTTTGAATTTGCTGTGCTTGCATTTCCAAGATTTGACGTAGGCCACTCACACAGTGGTGGTTGTCATCTTTTATCAGTAAACCACATCCCATTCGACATCGGAAGGGATTCTTATCACACGTATCCTCATGTTTTTGCAATGAATCGAATTTGAGTTGAGTTTCACATCCATGAATTCTATTCTCACAACTAATAGTTAGGTCTGCTAACATATTGCGAACAACGCGAGATGAAGTTGTCAAATCCTCTTTCACTAAAGAATGTCTGCATTCCGGGCACTTTGAATGATCAGATAAGTATTTCAATATACAAGCACGGCAGAAATCAGCCACACACGCATCACATTTTACAGGATCTTCTAGGACGTCGTTACATATGACACACAAGAGCAGTTCATCAACGAATGTAACGAAACGATTGATTTCATAACCCATTTTTGCTAAAATTCTGTTTGAAAACAAAAAATTTTATTATATTATTAAATAATATAAAAAATAAAAATGAATGATAATTGTTAATAACTGTTTACTAATCGCAAAAGAATACGCGATGCTTAGATGTCTCATAAAATATGATGAAAAATCTTCAAATGACTGGTGAATGGGATAAAACCAATTTATATTATTTGTTGTTGTTGTTGTGGTTTAAGTTAGTGCTATTACACAGTTTTACTCTTTTGTGGCTGGGAGCTTATCCCTGCCC